CCCTGGTTTTCCAATAACCCCTGGCCCCCCAACACCTAGAAGCAAAAACCATTGTCATATTCGGAATCAGCATAGTCGATAACCTATTCTCCATTAGGTTTCAACAAAAAAGCGAGCGGACACTTGGGGCAGTTCCCTCGTAAGTGCCATTCAGTTACGAGTGAGAACATAGATCAGCGCATTGTGATGGACAATGAAGAAGTTACATTACCCGAAATAGCCTGAATCACAACCGACAATGAAAAAGCTTTAGCTTGCGATAGATTCATCATACCAAAAGCACCAGTTAAAGTGGGTACACCAATAAATTTGATATATAACCAATCAGTCAATCCAGATTATAAAAAACTAATTAATCTACAAGAAGCTTTAGCTAATGAAACACACTGGGCAAAATTGCCTTATATCTCATCAGATATGCAAGTCATTTTAGATTTTATAGCAAGTACTCCCAAACCAGTAGCAATACATGATTTTAAAATTTGGAGTGATCAACCGATTTCATACACTACAATCGCAATGTTGGGAACGTTAATCTCAACAGTAATAGTTCTTATATTCTGTATTTACAGTAGGAAGAAAACGGGTGGACCCAATACTAATATCACAATTTCAATGCCGGCAATGAAAAAATTGCTAGCACAAGAAGCTTGAAACAGATATATATTATAAGCATATTTTGTGTGTGCGTAGCGATAACTTTTCATTTCTTTTTATCTTTAGATCGTTTCTTATTAGCGTATGAACATTCCATTTGCGCGTGTAGGTTAAATGAGAGAATTGTACATAACGACGCTCGGGAGAGCGTCTAATCAAAGTGGGAGGATGTGCCAATATTGTAGTATTTCTTATTCTTAGTGTTTCTTATTGCGTGGACAGTGTTTTGTATATCATTCAGTGAATTACGTTTCCTGTATGTAGGGACACTACGGCCTTACCTTGGTCAAAGAGTTGCGTTTCTGTCCTTTTCAACATAGGTTCATTACCAGGAGCATATATACAGTTGTGACTTGTGGCGCGTCCTTGCCCTATCATGAGCACTCTAATAAGTTACTTCTTATGACTCTGAATAGACCAACTGTGGGAGGAAAGAAGAAAAGTATAAAAGGACGGAGAATGGAATAGATCGAGAGCATATTGAGGTGGTTAGAAATTGGAGTAGTGAGTGCATCGGGAGTTGAGTCGAAAGAAGGATATATATAGTTTAGAGACGTTAGTTGGAACATACAAAACTGAAAAATAAAGACTACTGACGTACAAATAAAAATGATCAATAACACTAACTCGATCAATTTGCCACATTCTTATTCTCGCGTCATCAAGATATCGATTCGATTCGTTCTTTTTAAATTTATATTGAGTCGAACAGAAAAGGGATTCTTTTTAAAAATTCGATTAGAAATAAGGTGCGGGTAATTCAAACTTCAAGCAGATTTTAGATTTTTTTGAAACACACACCGTTCGATAGAGCTTGAATAGCTCTACAAGGATATCGCCTTTAAAAGTTTTTCGAGCTTTCCTTCCAGGAG